ACTTCTCCGTCTACACTTGGATTATCAAAGGTCGAGCTACCGTGCCCCCTCCGCCTCCGAGATCCTTTCCCACGGCGACGTTCCTTGGTACCTCCATCCTAGTGGCAACCTCGATGCTAGTCTGGACAATCTTTCGTCGCTCAACTTAGTCTCCGTAGGAAGAGAGAATTAAAGGTCTCAAGGTGTGAACAACTTTGTATTAATTGTGGGATTTTATTTACTAGCCTTCGTTTTATGTTTTCCTTTGCGTATGCTTAAATGGTTTAGTTTTCTTGTTGTAGTTTCTTGCCTAACAAGTTGAACATCGCGAATTACTTGTAATCAACTTAACTTTGATGCATGAATAAATAATTCGTTGAGCTAAACTTTAATTCTCTTTTTAAACTCTTGTGTAACTCCACCATTGCATCACATCACCGAGGCTCGCGGTTCTTATTTTCTAGCTTTCGTTTTATCTTTGTTTTTATTTTCTTCCTTCTTATCTCTCCCCGTCGTCTTTTTCATATTTCTTCATCTTCCCCTCTCAACCCCTCGGCCAAACCTTCATACCAAGCTCCACAAAATTTTCCCCATAGCCGCCGGCCACCTTCCCCCATTAGCTCCTCCACCGCCGGCCACCCTTTAGGAAATTATTTTCATCCTTTGAAATTCGAATTTTGAATTTCAAATGATTTCCTAAATTAGAAAGCTATTTTAGGAAAGTTTTGAATCACATTCATGATGTAATTCAAACTTAATTTGGGTGACTTAATCTTGGGCGGTTTTCAAATTTTCAAATTCCACTAATTTGAAATTTGAATTCTTTCCTAATTTATCATTCTATTTTTGGAAAGTTACTAAATGAATTTTATTTGAATTTCAAATTCAAATAAAGTTTAATTATTTCTTTCCTAAACTCCACACCCCAATTAAGTAATCACAATTAAAGCATTAAAACCCTCTTTCCCTATGGTTACAGCCGGCCCCATCCACCTTGGCTTTAATTATATTTATTTCCCCAACTCCTAAGTTTTAATTTTATTTCCTAAAATCAGAAATCGGATTTTGGGAAATAAAATTCCCTCCTCAGCTTTCATTCAATGCTTCCCTTACTTCCTACAGGATTTGTTTCCTAAACCACTTCCCCACCCGTTGGAAACAAAATTGAAGCCACACCTCTCTTGGCCGAATTCCTCTTGACTTTAATCCTTAATTTATTCCCTAATCCTATGGGAAGGAATTAGGAATTAATTAACCTCCACCTCAGCCCCATTAAATCCCGTCACCTCCTCCCAGCTTACCGCCTTCCCTTATTTGATTTCCTCATAGAAAAAAAAAAAACTGTCCACGTTTCTCAGCCAATAATTAATGCAGCCGTTGCCCATGCAAACCCAGCTATCGTAAGCCTCTTAATTGCTGTTTGGAAGATCTAACTGCTGTCCAGCAGTTTCAGCTAGATTCTTTTTGCTGTAGCAACATCAAAGAAGCCTCTCGCCTCTCTCTCTCACGGCCTAGCCTTGCTGGAATATAGGCTGAAGCTCCTCTTCCATTTCTTTCTCCAACACTGACGGCTGGACCTCTTTTCTGATTTCTGTGAGAAGATCTGAAATACTTCAGATTTCTTGAAGGAATATTCTGAGAATTCATCTCAGGTTATTGGTGAAATCATTTGTCCCTAGCAAATTCGTTTTCGTTCTACATCAGGTGGGCAACAAACAAAGGTGAGTAATAGCAACTACTAGAAATCAAGAAAACAATTCTAGAATCTTGCATGGAGGCTGGCAATTTACTTTAACAATTCTCCCTTTATATCTCGGAAATCCTGCGACCGTTCCTTGCCTGCGTAAAGTCCACCAGTCCAAGCTTGTAAAATATATTACATGCTTTTAATTTTCTCGTTATTTGATTTCATAAGAGAAAAGTTATATTATGTAAATTTTTGTATTTACTGTTTTCCTTCTTTTCCCTCCTATTTCCGGTTTACATCTTAATCCTTTGTCCTTGCATCCTCTATACAAACAACACTTATCCTTCTCTTTGAAATAAGAAGAATTAGTCTTTTTCTCTTATATTTTCAACACTCTTATACATTAACTCTTCACAAGTAAATGTTCTGATCAGGTACGTATTAGCTTTGCTACATTTTCCATTTTTCTGTTCTTTTATTACATCCTTCTCAGTATTCCATCTAACTTTTTTTCCAAATTATATTATTTGCATTTCATAGTTTTTTTGTCCTCTTACAATTAAGTTCAAGTACAATAAACAAATGATTGTTTTGATGCCACGTGAATAGTATATATATATATATATATATATATATATAGCACACACTATTTTCTCATTTTATGCGCATCTACAATTTCCATCATGTGACAATACTAGTTTGCGCAAATTTGGTTTCAAATCTATCTTTTGGCAATTAACCAACTCATCACCTTGATCATAAGCGATTATGTCTCTTCTGATTTCGAATTTATTTTGAAGGTGGGCTTGTTGCATTGCGTTATGTCTGACAAGGAATATGACGTAATAATTAATTGTTTGTACACGAACTTATCTGAAGAGCCAAGACTTCCTTCAAGTTTTCATAGCAATGTTGCTGGAGCAAAGGAGTCTATGCGTATGCTTGTTGACAAGGTCAATCATAATGGTCAGAGCTTACTTTCGCGATCTATTGTCATCATTACTGTTGAGATTCATAATGCTTTGCTAGAGCTTTGCAATGGTCTTGATGTAGAATCCCCATTGGCTCAAATCTCTGTAAGTGTGACTAATGTTTTATTAATTATAGTCATACTATTGACTTAAAGAACATTTTCATCTACAGTTTTAGTTGTCTACTATCTCTTATCTTTTACTGCCTAAACTATCTGTATCAGTGATTTTAATTTGTGCTTCTTTAAATCTTGTTTCAATTCTGCCACTAATGGATTAGGTGACACGTTCTTTTCTGACATGATAATAATAATTTTCCAGTTGGAAGGCCTTTGGGTTTCTTATCGGTCTACATCTTTTTTTGAGATGGATCTTTATGTGACAATTCCTATATTCTCTGTGCTGGATATACGCTCTGATACAAAGCCAGAAATGTGTTTGATGCTTGGTTCTTATACAGATGTTTCAAAACCTGGTTGTAACAATTCAAGTTCATCTTCAAACTTCATTAACTCTCAAGCAAACATGCCCAGCAAGTTAGAAAACGAGTCTGACATGGAGGTTTCTAAGTTGACCATGCTGATTTTGGACTTTCGATGGCGTCCTTCTTTTCGGTCCTTTGTTATAAGAATTCAGCAGCCACGGGTTCTTGTTGTTTTGGATTTTCTTCTTGCAGTTGCTGAGTTTTTTGTCCCCTCTTTTGGGGCGATAACTGGCAGGGAGGAAACTTTTCATCCAAATAAGGATCCGCTTACTTCCTCTGATGATATAATTTTCTTAGAACCAGTATTTATGCAACGTGATGATGTTGTTCATCTTTCCCCGAGAAGACAGTTGATTGTGGATGGTTCTCATGTCAATGAGTTTACATATGATGGTTGTGGAAAAATATTATCATTGAATGATGAATTTGAGTCAAAGGGACAACCATATTCAGGAGCGATTATTGTTCTTGGGAGAGGCAAGAAGTTGCGTTTCAAGAATGTAAAAATCGAGGTGTGTTACTCAACCTGCAACCTAGTTCTCTTTACATGATATTTCAGGTTGTAGAATCTCATTTGTGGTTTGAAATTGTTTTTTATACCTTGAAATTTAATGTGTTGTTTAGCTTTTTCACACTGTCATCCATATATTCCATTATTGAACCCAGTCAGGAGCTCGGATAAAAAAAGGAAATCAAAGAACCTCTATCCTTCTCGGGGTATTGGAGGGACCCCTACATCTCTTTTCCTCTGCAAAAAGCATGGCTACCATACCCCACCAGCTAGATTCCACAGTACCAGGCAATAGCTCCACAAGATCAATAGCTCTCTCACAATCAACGTACAACAAGTTCTTGGATCAGAACTTAAGAGTATTATTGATATGATTTGGAGAAAAACATTGTCAAACCTCATAAAAACTCTCTTTCAATGATAAAATTATCAAAACAAGTAGTACGAAGTAGAACACCTGCTCTCCAAACCTCTCGAATTACAGCAGTCTCTTCTTATTTTAGGGTTATAAGAAAAGTATATATATTAAGTCACTTGATTAGAAATTCTAAATGGCTTCTTTCTTGTAGTTTGGCTTTTGTATTTTGATTTATTTGGTCATCAATTTATCTTTATTAAACTAAATGTTCCTGTCTGACGTTTTTTATTAATACACTAAGAAGTAAATAGGTAATTGAACTTCCGGTCTTCCTAGCAACGAATGTCTGTTCTTCTAGATTTTAAATTAATTCTAACATTTACTGCGATTATACTGAACCCTATACAACATACATGAACTTGCTCCAATGATAAAGCAGTCATTGGTGTGAATTGTTTGGTGATGATGTTAATTTTTGTTTGATGTTTGTATATTTATGAATTCACAAATCTGGTTTGAGGACTGTATGTGCTTTATCTCGCTGCATATTTTTTATGCCAAGGAAAGATAGGTGATTTCCTGATGCTGATAGTATCGTGAAGGCTAGAATGTTAATTGATCATCTGGAAATTATCCTTAGCTAATATATAAAATTAGTTCTGTATTGAATTGAATCTTATTAAGTTTATTTGTTTTAAAACTATTGTTTGCTTTTACTGTTTTCTTTATGGCATTCCACGCTTTTACCTATTTGTGTAGTTTAATTAGTACATCCTTATGTTTAATTCTCCTATTGCCATACGTAGTTTAATTAGTACACTAATGTTTTTCAAAATCAACCTGGATTCATGCCAGGTAGGTCTACTGTGGAAGCTATACATTTATTGAGATGTTTGATGAAGTATAGAGAGAATAAGGAGAATCGACATATGATTTTTATTGATTTAGAGAAAGCATATGATAAAGTTCTAAGAGAAGTGATATGGAGAGTTCTACATAAGAAAGGGGTTAATAATGTTTATATTCAAGTCATTAAAGATGTATATGAATGCAGGACCTATTACTTGTGTTCAAACACAAGGTGGTTTGACCAAGTATTTTCCTATTTCAGTTGGATTACATCAAGGATTAGCCTTAAGCACATATCTTTTTTGCTTTATTCATGGATGTTCTCACTAGACATTTGCATGAGGTTGTACCTTGGTGTATGCTTTTTGCTAATGATATTCTTCTTGTTGATAAGACTAGAGAGGGGGTTAAAGGTAAACTTGAATTATTGAGGTCAACCTTAGAGTCGAAAGGTTTTCATTTGAGTTGATCTAAAACTGAATATATGGAGCATAATATTTTAGTAGTAATAGATTTAGTGGGAGGATTGTGACTTTGGTTGATTAAGTCATTAATAAGAGTACACGTTTTAGATATCTTGGGCTATTGTTCAGAGTGATGGTGAAATAGATTGCGATATTATTAGTAGAATTCAAGTTGGATGGTAAAAGTGGAGGAATGCATCGAGCTTGTTGTGTGATAGAAAAGTCCCTCTCGAACTTAAGGGAAAATTTTATAAGATAGCATTGAGACTTGCAATGCTTTATGGTGCAGAATGTTGGCCATTAAAAGAGAAGTATAATATTAAGTTAAGTCTTTTAGAGATAAGGATGCTTAAATGGATGAATGGCTTTACTCTCAGAGACAGTATACAAAATGAACATATACGTGAAAAGTTTGGAGTAACTCTAGTGAAAGATTAGATTAGAGAGAGTCGCCTTAGATGGTTTGGTCACATAAAATGGCGGCCCTCCGATGGCCTTGTTAGGAAATTAGATCTATTAGATTTGACTTATGTTAAGAAAGGTAGTGGTAGGCCTAAAAACACATGGTTAGAAATTATTAGAAATGACATTTCTTTATTAGATTTAAATGAGAATTTAACTCTTAATACGACACAATGGAGAAAAAAGATTCATGTAGCCAACCCGCTTTGTGGGATAAAGGCTTGTTGTTGTTGTTGAACTTTAAGGATTATATTTCCCTTATAACCAATTATTTTGGCTTATGCTTTTATACTCATCAGAATGGTGCTTTATTGAGAAAGTGTACACACCTGAGCAATGATAGCAGCTACTCAATCTCTGAAGATGATGGTGTTGAGATTTCTTTCCTGGAAAAGGATGCTTTTCAAAGTAATGGAGAAGGATCAAAACCATGTCACGAGAGCTTAAGGGATACAAATACTTTTGATGTTGAATTAACAAGTGTAGCTAATCAAAGTCAGAACTTCACATTTGAAGCTCAGGTAATCTCATTTTCTGGAATTTGTTTTCCTATATATTTTTGTTATTGAATGCAATATTCCAGTTCCGTTGATCTCATGCTTGTGCTTGTTGGGGATAAAGAAGGAACTCTATGTAAATGACTTGGATCTGTTAACTCCATTATTTAGAGTATACAATTTTTTTTATAACACATATAATGGGAATAAAATTCAATCATAAACTCTATAGTTTTTTAGTGTCCTCTTTTTTAATTTTAATTCTCAAGAAGTTATCATAGACAGTAAAGTTTTACTTTGCGTGAGGCTAATGAAGAAATGTTATTTTACAATCAAATGGGGTAAAGGGTGAATCAGGTAATTTAAAGGCCCTTCTAAAATAAAAAGCTTTCTTATTTAATTTAGTTAATTTAAAATAAATCAAAACAACTATTTGTTGGCTATGAATGTCGTCTTGACCTCTTAATGGTAATTCGAGAAGAGTGTTAACTAATTAAGTTTCACATTAAATTTTTTGGAGTTTGATTGGTTAGAGATGGATACAACATAGAGATTTTGCATAAATTTTTGGAAGGTAGATTCATTGTACTCATGCAATGTACTTAAATGAATTTAGGTGTATTTGCATACTTTGTTCGAATACTTTTAATTTGATGGTGTGTTTGATGAGGTGGTCATGTGCTTTTTCCTGCCTTGGTGCATATCTGATTGCACTGGCATGCTTCTCGATGTAACAATATGATTAACAAATTATGCCATGCTTCTTGATGCGGTGACACACTTCTTGTGGCATTGACTTACTTTTCGAAGTTGTAACATGCTTCTCTGGATGTCACACATTTTTTGAGGTAATAGGGTAGAAGCTTCTTGAGATGGCATGCATAAGTCTTGAAAATTGAAAATTTTTATGCAAGTAGGATTTAAAATATTCAAATTTAATTATTTATGCAAGTATTGGCCATTAGAAGAATGCACGCAAAATTTCATTCTAAGGTTTAAAGTACTCATTTTGTTGGTTTTCCTGTGTTATGGATCAGGTGACTTTTGTTTATGATGGGTAGGAATTTTAAAATTTCATAATTATTTTTATTATTATAATTTTTTTTTTTAATTTTTAGGATTGTGGATTTAGTTTAAGTTAGGGAATCCTATTCCAGCCTATAGGCGGGTTGCCTTGTTCATTACAAGTCCCCTATTCTTGCTCGTAAACGAGTTGTTTTATTCATTATAAGTCTGTTCAATTGCGTTTGTTTAAAACAACGAACGTTGCATTTTAGAGTTAATATTTTTTGTGCTCAATGTACATTTAAACTTTGTTAATTGCATTTTAGTTAAGCAAATCATTTTATTGGTTCCTTGTTTGATTTTCGTTCAAACAAAATTATAGTAGCCTCCTAGCATCTCCCTATATAGGGGGCATCATCAGGAGCTTTGGATCTTCCCACCATGCCACCATACTTATCACAGGCAAAAAGCTAGTTGCCCTATCATGCTAAAACAGTATGAACGGGTACTTAAAATTCTTGCACGTGGCCAACAATGACGTGGAGAGCGACAAATTGTGAGAAATTGGTAGGGAAAACACAATTTTCTTCCTCTTTGTTCTTTATTATTTTGTTTTGAAATCCCCCTTCTTTTTTTCTTTTTTTGCTTGCTCTTTTTTTTTTTAGTTTTGTGATATATATATATATATATAAGTTGGTTGTTTGTTTTGCCCAAACATTATCAGTTTTGTGTGTGTGATGTCTGTACGTGAGTAGGAGAGGGTGTGGGTAGTGCACTACTAATTCCCTGGTCTTGCTCGTAGGTGAATTGTAGTGTGCGCTACTAATTCCCTGCTCTCACTCACTGGAGAATTGTAGTGTTCTTTGTAAGTTATTGATATTTCCTATAGGCAGATTGATAAGTTTGATAAGAGCTCCCCCTACCCAAATGTTCCTGCCCGTATACTAGTTTTGTATGCACTATGAATTACCCGCTGCTCACAGGTGAATTGTAGTGTTCTTTACATGTTTCTTGTCTTCTCCTGCAGACACTGCTTTGTGCATTAAGAATCCTTCATTCATACCCATAAAGAGTATATGTATTCTTTGCAAGTTCTTCAATATTGCTCATAGGCAAGTAGAGACCAGATGAAGTCACCAGCTATTTCATGTCGAGCTGCATTCAATGCCCATAAATTGGTTGATGTGTGCATCATGAGTTTATATTCATGCTTCTAGGCTAGTTGTTCTACTTACTACAAGTCCCCTACATATGCCCGTAGACAAGCTGTCACAATCATTTCATGTTTGCAAATTCGTGCCCATAGGAAAATTATTTTGCCCACTACAAGTTCATTTTGCTCTTTTGATTTTGAAAATTGTATTTAATTTCATTCTAGTTTTAGAATATTAATTTAGGTCCAGTTCCCTATTGTTTTTTACAAGCAAGCTTCATTATCGATCTCCTCTCTTCTTCAACAAATTGGGTATCATGATTATTACAAGTACCCTATTCTTGTTCTTAGCCATAGGTTAGTTGATGTGTTCATTACAAGTTCATTTTTCTTTGCCCGTAGACAAATTAGTATGTTCATTATGAATTCTTTCTTACCCCCCATATGCAAGATACCATATTCATTAAATATCCTTTGCTTATGTCAAATGTCATTCATTCAAAGCAATGAAATTAGCAGTTCAATGTTCTCATTTTCGTTCTCAACGAGCCTTCTAGATTTTGTTTAGTTGCATTTTAGCTTAACAGGATATTCTTTGTTAAAATTCAGCCATTCAACGCAGATAAGATCCAACGGCTACTGTGCATGATCCGTGGGACACATGACTCTCACCCAAATTCTTTTCATGTTTGGGTAGCTGATTTAGGAAGGATTTTATTAGAGTTATTCTGTAATTATTTGCTTTTGTATTAAGAGTTCTTGTATAGATTTATAAATAGGGAAGAAATCATGGAATGAAGCAAAGCCTTTTTCTTCTCAAACCTTTGTTTTCAACATTCTTCAATATTAGTAGTTTAACGATAAGGATGATGATGATAGTTGCATGCGGATTCACTTATCAAAATTGCATAAAATTATCATTCTTGTTTTGTTTCATGATGAGGGTGAAATAAGTGAACTACAATTGCGGTGATAAGAACAGAGGAAGGCGAGTGACAGTTGTGATTCGCTCAATTGTGCGACCATTGCCATTGGTGGACAAGAATGATAATTGGGTTTGATAGAGCAGTGTTGTGGATTCATTCGGCTTTGAAATCTATAGATTGAAGGGATGAAGGAACTTCTCGCACAAAATAAGGTGGAAAGGAAGAACACTCATTTTGCTGCACATAATATTTTCATTCATTAACCACTAATAATTAATTACAAAATATAGGTCCCTATTTATAGAATTTGAGTAACAAGAATAAGGCTATTTATTTAAATGCAATTCTAATTATTTCCAAACCTAGGGAGCATACAAATCCTAGTCTATTTTATGTAAAAGAAGGTTATACAACCTTATAAAACAAATAAAATAAAATAAAAAAATATAATAAATAAAAAAAATCAAATAAAATGCATGAAAATTTGGCGTAAATAGAAATGAGTCAAAAAAGACATGAAAACTGGTCCAATCTAGCACCATAATATCCCAATTCAATCCGCTTTGGTTAATCTATGAAAATTTTAATTGTATGAACTATACTTAAGCAAGTATAGTGATTCCCTACCTTCTTAATCTACACCACTTAATTCTAACCTGTGCAAAACACTGCATCCTCTCAGTTTGATCGCTCATATTTGATTAGGAAGGTCTGCAAGTGATGAGAATAACAGCAGTTCAGGAGGAAATTAACTCGCTATGATACACCTTCCTTTAAATTAAGTTTTTTTGCCTATTCAGAAGGCCAGGCATTTCATAATTAGTCAACCTGTTGAAAAAATATATCGGGACCAATAATTCAGGGGTTATCATGATAACTTGTGGTTACTGAAACTGAATCTTCCCACTCATCCTGGAATCTAGTTTTAATTTTCTCTTTGAATATATTGAAATGAACCGAAGGAGACTACCTTAAGTTTTGTTTGAACTATAAATTGCTGGTCCTTATATTATTATATACAATACTTAATGATAAAAGTTGACATTTGGATGACCTCTCAGTTGCTACAATCTTTTTTTTTTTAGTTTTTCAGCAGATTTAATCTCCTTGATTTATTTGTGTACCCATAGATTGTTTATTCTTTTATTTAAACTGAAAAATAGATTTATGTTCATGTTTTTAGCTTAATAGCTTTTTTTTTTTTTGTAATTTTGAAATTTATTATTTCATCTTATAAAATAGCTTCAACGGTTTGTTCTGTATAGCAAGATTTATAAATTCATCCTGCCAAATGATCAGGTTGTCTCCCCGGAATTTACTTTTTATGATAGTTCAAAGTTGGCTTTAGATAATCCCTTGCATCTTGAGAAGCTTTTACGGGCAAGATTGGACTTGAGATTCATGTAAGTGTATCCTACGGCATTCAGTATATTTTTTTTTATACTTCACCCAACGTATGGAACTTCGTTTTCCTTTCACTAGTTCTATGTTGTTGATTTATCTTGTGATTGTGCAATCACAATATCATTAGCTTATTCCTTTGTTATCCTTGCTTTACTGGACAGGTATGCTTCAAAAGAAAATGACACATGGGCTCGAGCTCTAGTGAAGGATTTTACCATTGAATCTGGAGCTGGCCTTCTTATTCTTGAGCCAATGGATGTCTCTGGAGGATATACTTCTGTCAAGGACAAAACCAGTATATCAATGTTGTCAAGTGATATATGCATCCACCTATCACTTAGTGTAGCCTCACTCTTACTTAAGCTGCAAAATCAGGCTTTTGAAGCGGTACAATGTGGCAAAGTTAACCCCTTGGTCTCATGTACGAACTTCAAGCGGATCTGGATTTCACCAAAAGGTCATTTGAAACTCCATGAACTCCAAATCTTTTTGTTCGTGCTTTAACTAGCATATGATATGAATTCCGTTGATTTTTTTTTTTTTTTGGGTTACCGTTTTTGTGGAGTAGAATACTTAAATTTTTTAACTTCAGGTGCCTTGCCTGGATATAACCTGACATTTTGGAGGCCACAAGCTCCGTCAAATTATGCCATTTTAGGTGACTGTGTGACATCAAGGTAATCGGGAAAGTTTATTGTATTCATCTGATATCATTCCGATTTCACCATTTTTGGAGTTGAATAATAGAATTTTAATGCTAATCACTACAAATCCTCTACGGTAATAATGCAAATACTGTACCGTATGATAATTGCTCGTGGTTGACTTCTAAATTGATTTTGTGATTTATACCACAAAGTATAGTGGAAACTCTTGCTCAATGTTCGAGGAAAAATCATGCCCAATGTTATAGAAAATCTTGACTTAACACTAGTAGTGCAATGCGCTAGTTTTTGGGAATGCATAGACGGATATGCATGCATGCATGCTTATACTATTAATTTCAGCATATGTACCATGACTCAGTCTTGGCGTCCTCCACTCAACCTGAGGTCTCAAAAAGGATAAAAATTTCCCACTCATGAGGAATTAAATTTTAGTAGGAATATATATATATATATTGCATTTATTTGTGTCTGTTTGTATGTGTTATCAAAATTATAAATATAAAATATAAAACTATCTTTGCATTACTTTGAATGAACTTATCACCAGTTAGCACACAAATACAAGTGAACTTGTGGACAGAAATGAACAAAAAATGCATCAAAAAGTGTGCTTAATGGAGTATCAAAATACATGTACCGGTCTCGTTAAGAAGCATCAGATATGATTGATGAAAAAGTGTGCAAAATAACATCAAAAAGATTTGGAGGATAATTTTGAACTAGCAAAGTGTGTTCTAACATATCTTTTATTGAAATCCTTGTCAACTGAATGATAATTTTGAACTAGCATGTCTTTTAATGAAATGTTTGACACAAAGTTTCATCATAAAGCATGCAAAACATATTTGTGATACATATGCAATGTAAATTAACCCACTTTTAAAGACGTGAAAACTCATATCCTAGTCTTTTTTTTTGTTTTCAAGCTGATCTCAAATGACTTAATGTCATCACGTATCTAACTCGACTAAGAAATTCCTGATGAGACATGGTATTTTCAAAAGCATAAAAATATAAAAATACAAAAAAGCAAGGAAATTCATAGAAATAGAAGAAATTTTCTATAATGATAAAAATGCAAAATATCCCATTAAAAAAAAACAATGTGTGGTCAATAAAAGAAACAGTAAATTGCGCAAATACTAGCAAGCGTTAGAAAATATTAGGATGGTTCCATTTCCCTTGTTTTCTTATTATATCGAAGTGTGTGCGCTTGTTACAAAATATTTAAAAACAAAAAAATTCTCGAAAATCTAAAGAATTAGCTATAAATATTGAGCTAAAGTATGTGCTCCTTGCTCGATTCTCTACTTGCAAAATGTTGAATGAATAAGACCTATAGCCTAAAAACTATCCAAATTGTTAGGAAGTAATTACAAATATCCCTTGCAATGTCGAACTGTCCTTTTCTGCTGTGGATTGGGGACTAATAATTCAATCAAGAGTTTAACCAAATATTTGGCAGTTCATTTGCATAGTTCCGTTGGACCACCTTGCACTAGTCTTTGCCTTTAATGTCTTCATGGAGAAAATTCATTTAATAAGAAACTTTATGGTTTGCCCTGCCCATAGAATGGGTTTCAGTCTTAATATTTGAGATTCTCCATTTTTGTGGTTATAAGGCCCATTTTAAGGTTATATCCACTACAAGAAGGCAATTAGAGTCAACAAGGACCCTTGATGCAGGACTAAGTACGAAATGTTTTAATTCATTTAGATTTTGCACAACTCTTGATTAGAATAATTAAGAGCAAAACTTCTAGCAGTTAAAACGACAAATCAAAACAAATAAGGGGTCACAACCGCTTAGGCCAAATTACATAGCAAAAGATTTGAAACTAACAAAAATAAAATAAGAAAGCAACACAATGACGAGTAGTAGTTTCAAAGAAATTCCTAATCTAACAATAAGAGTTAATAGGCATAAGGCGCACTCAAACCCTACGTTTATTAAGCTTTAGCATGAGCATAATGGAGTCGTCCTTCATGACTATGAACAAATCCAAGAGAAATTAGATTTAGGAAATATAAGGAAAGGAGTGTGTGTGTTAGATTTTATTCACTCAATTACAATCACTCCCTTTCAAAATTAAAAAAAATTAAACAAAATATCTCATGTTGAATTTGAATTGAAGTTTTCGTAGTCTGGAGTCTGATTTTCCTGAAATGTTAGTACACACAAGAGCAAGTGCAAATCTTCTGAAATTGTTAGGAGATAACTATACATTTGAACAATAATGTTTGGAATCATCAAAACTACATAATTTGCATAAATATAACTCATTCAAATAGCAACTATTCAAACATTAATATTATTATTGTCACGGTTCATATGTTCGGTCTCTGATACGCCCTGGCAAAGTGATGGATCGAGAACGGCCGTCAGTTTGAGCCGAAGAGTTTGAAATCGTTGCGTGGATAAAGCTTTTGTGAAGATGTCTGCCACTTGATCCACTGTGCTAATTGTAAGTAGATCAATACTATTGTTGTTGATATGATCCCGGAGGAAGCGTTGATCTATCTCAATATGTTTGGTCCTGGCATGAAAAACAGGATTATTAGCAAGTGCTATTGCAGACATATTGTCGGAAAATAATTCAGTAGGAGTGGTTAAAGGGATAGAAAAATCCTGAAGAATTTGTCAAAGCCACAGAATATCTGCTGTAACGGATGCGAGAGCTCTATACTCAGATTCTGTAGATGATCGGGCAACCGTGTGTTGTTTCTTGACAGCCCAAGAAATTAATGTGTCTCCCAGAAACAAACAATATCCCGTTGTTGATTTTCTTGACACTGGATCACCGGCCCAATCCGCATCCGAGAATGATTTGAGCTTAAGCGAGCTTCTAGTTATAGGTAGACCAAAGTTCTTTGTTCCCTGAATGTACCTCAACGTGTTGCTCTGTCGGATTGTGCATGTGTTGAGAGAGGAAGTTGACTGCATAAGCTGTCTGGTCTTGTAATTGTAAGGTATTGAAGCGAGCCGGTAATACGTCGAAAGACAGCAGGATCAGATAGATGAGGATCGGGTTGTAGAGTTGTGGGAAGCTTTGTGGTGAGCGGATTGGCCATTGCATTGCAGCGACTTAGCTTGGCTAGTTCAAGAATGTTCTGAGCGTAAGACATATGAGACAGAAAATATTTGTGCGGAAGTTTTTGAATATTTATTCCAAGAAATGAGTGAGCTTGCCCAAGGTGTTTTAGAGAAAACTTCTGATTGAGCTGATTTAGAAGATGAGTGATTATTGCTTGGTTGTCGCCAATTATAAGCATATCATCAACGTAGATGATTAGAAATATATGAGATGTGGCCGTTTGAAAAACAAACAATGAGGAGTCAGATTTACTATGTTTAAAACCAAGAGCAAGCAGAGTAGAGGTGAGGGTATGGTACCATTGGCGTGGTGCTTGTTTGAGGCCATAAATTGATTTTCGAAGATGACAGAAGTAATCCGGATTGATGGTGTCTTCGAATCCCTTGGGTTGTGCCATGTACACAGTTTCATCTAAGTTCCCATGGAGAAATTCATTTTCTACATCAAGTTGGTGAAACGGCCACCCCTTATTTAGCGCGACAGTGAGAAGTATACGAATGGTTGGTAGCTTGGCCACCGGGCTGAAGGTCTCTGTGTAATCAATGCCGTATTCCTGACGATTGCCTTGCGCCACCAAATGTGCTTTGTGCCTAGTGACCAATTTATCAGCGTGATGTTTGGTGCGAAAGGTCCATTTGCTGCCAAGAATAGAAGCATTTGCCGGAGGTGGTATTAGATCCCATGTGCCTTGACGTTGTAACACAAGAATTTCTTTAGCCATTGCTTGTCGCCAATGATGATTCTTGACTGCCTCGGCGTAGGTCTTGGGATCCTGAGTGTGACTGACAGGCTGCACCTGATGAGTTAAGTTTAGGATTTGGCGAGGTTTGAGATTACCTGTTTTGCTGCGAGTAACCATGGTATGAGTGGTCTCAATCTGAGGTTTGTTTAGAGTATTGTGGTTGTTTGAAGTGGCCGTGTGAGGCGGAATATGTTCTAATGATCGTAATCCAATCTCTGGAGGAGGATCTTTGCTGACCTGAATACCAAGTATAGCGGGTGTAGGATTAGTGTGATTTCCAGAATTACTTAGAGTTTTTACCTGCCCATTGTTCTGCTGATTGCTCAGGGAGTGCGGTATGAGAATAGACGCTGGAAGATCTGGTACAGACACCGATGGTGTTGTCGGTTTGTTGGCAAAAGGAAAGTGTTCCTCGTCGAACGTTAGATGCCTTGAGAATTTGATCTTGCTAGAATTAATATCTAGACATTTGTATCCTTTGTAGGCATCTGAGTATCCAAGGAAGATGCACAGTGTGGTGTTCGGTTGGAATTTGTGACGCAAGTGGGTTGGCACTAACCGATAACACGCACACCCAAATGTTCTTAGGTGCTTAAATGACGGGGCTTTGTTGAACAATAGATGAAATGGTGATTTATGATTTGTGTTAGTGGATGTCATGTGGTTGATTAGATACACCACAGTGCTTGATGCGTCTGGCCAGTGAATGTAGGGAACAGAGGCATTGTGCATAAGCGTTCTTGTTGTGTCAATAAAATGCTTGTGCTTTCGTTCGGCTACATCGTTTTGCTCTGGCGTTTATGGGCATCATAGCTGATGGTGTATGCCATTTTGTTTTAGATATGATAGAAGCTTGTTGTTGACGCATTCTTTTCCGCCGTCAGTGCGCATACATTTGATCTTACAGGAGATTTGGTTTTCAATGAAAATTTTAAACGTTATAAATATATCCGTGACCTCGGACTTTTGACGCATTGGAAATATCCACGTGTACCTGGAGAAATCATCAACAAACAAAACATAGTATTTGTAGCCTTGAAAAGTCATCAACAAACAGAACATAGTATTTGTAGCCTTGAACCGATTCGACGGGGGCCGGTCCCCAGACGTCAGAATGAATCAAGGCTAAAGGGAACGATTGTCTATTAACTGAAATTTCAAACGAATTTTTGTGGCCTTTTGAGGCTTTACAAGAATTACATGTAGGAACAATAGAGGGTAATTTGAGATGTAAAATGTTCTTTCATATGTCTTGAAGAACTTGCTTATTGGGATGACCTAGGCGCTCATGCCAGAGACGAGCATTGGAGCTAACGGTTGCTAGTGCCTTGGCTGTAGATGTCAAGTTGTGACTCGGAAGAGGGTAGAGCCCTTCTCGACAAGGTCCTGTGAGAATCGTTTGATGACTCTGCAAATCCTTAAAGATAAAACCATTAGGAGAAAATTTGATATATATGTTGTTATCATTGGTCAGTTTGGAAATTGAAAGTAGGTTGAATTGAATACTGGGAATATGTAACATATTGGATAGAAGAATCTTACGATTCAGCGTTGGTAAAAGAAATTCGCCGGTGTGAGCGATGGGAATAGAGCGTCCGTCTCCTATGGTTATAGTCTCCGAGCCGCGATATGGTTGTGCTAACAAAAGGTTGTCGAAGGAGCTGGTCATGTGCGAAGAGGCTCCGGAGTCTAGATACCATTCTTGCAATTGTCTTTCTTGATTAGCAGCCAATGCTCTGTTTGTTTCAGCCGGTTGTCGAGGTGTATAATCCATGTTCAATCTGTGTCAGCACGCTACCGCTGCGTGACCACGTTTATTGCATATTTGGCATGTTATGGAGGATGAAGAACGAGGCTGCGAGTTGTTGCTTGAGGAAGTTTGTCCGCGGCCCCTTCTTCCGCGGCCTCTGTAGGTGTATAGCGCGAGATTAGGATCAGATGAAGTAGTATGGCGAGCTGATTCCATTGCAACATTGATCTCATCGCTGAGGAGCAGAGAGTAAAGATTATCTAAAGAGATTGGTTGAATCATAGTGCGGGTGGATGTTTTGAAGGCTTGATATGCCGCTGGCAAGCCATTCAAGATGTAGAGGATGATATCCTCTGTGTCGACGGTTGAACCGGCAGCAGCAATATTGTCGACTAACGTCTTGATTTCTTGAAGGTATTGTGACATCGTGGCATTCTTCATCGAGGTGTTGTGCACTCAACTAAAATTAATTCAATAAAATAAGGTAAAATAAATCAAACTCAAATTAATGTCGATTCGAATTGAATCGAGCCCGACAAGGCCTAATCGACTCGACCCAAAAGCGCTCGAGCGCAAATCAAGACAAAAACGAGGTCAACAACGCGGGCGCGGGGGCAGCGCATGCAGTGCGGGCGGGCAACGATAAAGGCGGGATTCGAAAATTTTCGAATTAAACGGGTTGGCGGTTTGACCCGGCAACCCGCTGGGTCAACCCGAACCCGACCCGTTTTTTAAACGGGTCGATTTCTGGAACCCGAACCCGACCCGTTTTGAAATCGGGTCGAGTTCAACCCGGATTTTCCGGGTCGGGTTTTTCGTGTCGTGTCAAATATTGACACCCCTACATTTTCCTATAGTGAGTTTTATCACTGGGAATGATAACTTCATATAGAGCAAAATTAACTAATCTGTATAAATGAAAACTGTCAACTTAATTTTATAAGAACATGGGAGCTCTAATGTATGGGTTGCAAACTTTGGATTGAACCTTCTCTTCCCTCATAAGTAAAATGCGCCATAACCATCAGACGTACAGGCAGACGTTTTTACGTCAGTAATATCGGCACCATTATCGGTGGATGTTTCAACGGTAATTTAAAAGCGCATTATTCAGTGGAATAACCGTCGTAAAGTTATTGGCGCACATTCCTCCTCACCTGCATTTCTTAGTTGTCCGACGCATTCTCTGCCGGTGGACTAACCGGCGCATCGTGCGCTGGCTTACTTAAACACGAAAAACTATGTATTGCGCACCATTCGTAGATAACTACTGGAAAACGTACCAGAGTATCATGCGCCGGCTTACTTAAACTTGACAAACTATTTCCGGCGTCTGCGCCGCCGGTTCTTTACGTCTGGATAAAAAATTGGAAATCCGGACAAATACCAAGTAATACCGAGTGCTCGGTACCGAGCACACAAGTGACATGGCGTTTTGTTATTGGTCTCTGGACGCGTTCGGTGTCCAGAGACAATAATTACTCGCGGCTAGGGGATGGTAATCACTTATATTAATTGATCTTAGAAAAAATATGAAGTATGAAATGGGTGGGATACAAATTTCTCAAAGTTTTAGGCTTAGTTTGGGGCGACTTTTTTAGTAAATTTTTAGTTTAAAAAAATAAACATTTTTTTACTAAAATGCTACTTTATGAAGCAGTAAGAAACAGGGGCGGATCTAGTGTGGGGGCACTGGGGGCACGTGCCCCCACAGCCCTTTTAAGTCAGCAGTCGCATGAGGTAATTTGAATTATTTATTCATTAATTACGGAATAAATCATTTACTTTTTTCATCCCCAATGCATTTAATATTCCACTTTTCCCCAAAACTTTCCCGCTGGCAGCTATCCCGTCCCGCAAATTACTTCCTCTCCCTACTTTGGCCCTGTCTTCTCATCTCTCACGCTCTTACTGGCTTCTTTGTTTTCCCTCCTTCGGCACTTCCTTACTGAAAGCACAGAGAAGAGAGAGATAGACAGAGGAGCGAGAGCAAAAGAGTCATATTTTTTTACTTCTATCTTCTTCCCTAGCTTAACGGCTTGCTCTTCGCAATCGCAAAGAACCGATGAAAAGAAGAATTTTTTTGAATGGTGGGAGGACTGATGTGGCCTAGATGAGATCATAACTCAGTTACGGTGTAGTATTTCTATATTTTTGTGCAGCTTTTTGACGCAGATTTGTTTTCCAATTTTTCATTGATTGAAATTTCACACTTGATTCCTCTAGATTTCCCTTTTATTTTCTTCTTTTGATAAAAAACGATCAAAAGAAAGAACTAGAGTTCTTGATCTTTTTTTTGGGTGGTATTACAATCAGGTAAATCCTGCGTATTTGGATTTCCCGGATTTGACTTCCTTCTGTTTCACATTCCTCTTATCTCGTACAATAATTTTATCGGTGTTGATTTCTTTCCATTCTTTCTTTTTTATTCCTGCGATGAAATTTTTGTCTTCTGCAATGTCTACAGGCTACAGCGGTTTAATTTTCTACACTGCTCTATTTATTCTGATTGCAATATCGCCTCCACCCCTGCCGCCCAGTTACCAGTCGCCGGCCCACCGTCACGCACAGTTCGCCGTAACTCGTAAGAATACTGAATCATTTTACCTAACTATTATCCTATTATTCAAGTTATTTTTCTTTACTTATGAGTTTCAATTGAAAATTGGAATGAAAGCACAAATCACAAAATCACATAATCTGTTTGGGATGAAAGCACAAACCACAAAAATTGTTTAAAGCATAAATAAAATCCTGGCTCCGCCCCTAGACTCACCCGCCTAAACTTAAAATTTTGTGCCCCCACATGAATAAAATCCTGGCTCCGCCCCTGGTAAGAAAACGGTCCAAAACCCTTATTTTGAATTTCATCAAAAAAAAACTTTTTATTCAGCATGTTCATCTAAATAAAATATGATCATGATTAAAATTGAAAAATAGTACACACAAGATATGTATAGCTATTTATTTATTAAGTTCCCTAAATTAAAACTTTATTAATTTTTAAAATTATGAATAATTACATTAAATAATATAGCAAACTAAAATATTTTAAATTTATATCTTATTAAATATTTTTATGTTCATTATTTATAAATAATGTAATTTATATTTAGATAATTTGTCATATTATTGTATACTTTCAAATTATATATAAATTAACTTTATAATTTTATTTAAAACTACATAAATATTTTCTCGTACGACATTTAATATAATTTTATAAGAGAAATTATTGTAGTGATTTTAATTAAAAATATAAAATAAATTTATATATAATTTTGAGAGTATAAAATAATATGACAAATTATATAAATACAAATTATTGTAATTTTATAAAACAGAATTATTGTAAAGTTGATTGACATCATTTTAAAATTTATTTATTTTTAATTTGTTTTAAAAAACAATTTTTAAATGATATCATTTAATAAAATTGGTCAAAACAACAACGGCTTCCGCAGCACAAATTGCTGCTTAGATTTTGTAAAAACGCAAGAACAGGGCAGGAGACAAGAACAGAAAGAAGAGAAGAAGATGAAACCAGAAATTGAATTTCTCAATTTCATGACCCGACGGAGTGTCCAGGAGACCTATATAAAGATCACCTCAGGGTGATATACACGTGTACAAATATTGTTGGTTATTATAATCTGTAATTAGAGTACGTAAGTTATTTATTGTTCTAATCGCGTCTGGCCAGTAAGATGTGGGCATTGAAGCCTGTTAACTAATATAAAAAAAAAAATAAAAGGAAGAAAAAAAAAGAGGGCATGAAACAAAAATTCAAGAGATGTATTTCTTCATTAGTTTGATGCAAAATGCAGTCCTACTGTCATATGGATCGTCGGTGGATGCATCTATAGTGATGCTTATCAGGTTAACAAACCAAAATTTTAAGATTCACTACAATTCTATAACGAGTACTGTGACTTTTTCCTTCAGTTATGGAAAATTGTCAGGTCAATAGACTGAAATCTCAAGATTAATTTCAATTATATAACTGCAATAACATTCACCTAGAGTTATGAATGATTATCAAATTCAACCAAGCCCAAATAGCTAGTAAATAAAAAATTGAGCTGATGAGAGATAGATTTCTAAGACAGTTTATAATTTTTTATTTGTTAATATAAACACCATGTTTCTCTTCACCATATTCTCTCATCAGTTCTACTTGGATTAAAGTAGATGAAATAAATAGATGAATCTTTCGTGTTGACAGATGAAACTACAACATAACTCTTGAAAGAGGTGACTTTAGTGTAAGCAAAATTGCTAACAGATTACATTAAAGCCTGAAAGATGGAGTATCTACGGTACTTAATTCTTAAGCTAATTGATTGATAATATTTTTTGTTTATATACACAAAAGAATGTGAAAACTAAAAGTTTTGTGCATTCACGAAAAGATAAAAAAATAAGCAGTTTTTTTTTTTTAACTATTACAGAACAACAATTTGCTTCTCTAAAATATTAAAATTGAAATATAAAATTATATGTAAATTCGTAATATAATAATCAAGAGCCAACTGTTTAACAAAAAAAAAAAAAAAGAAGAGAGTGTGTATGTGCTATCACTATTTCAAATACAACAGACACATTTCTTCAAATACTTCGCCTCCAAGGCGACCCCACTTGGCAAAAACGACGCAACGATTCAACTCAAAACCGTTCTTCAATGATGCTGTCAATAAAAAGAGAAAAAAAATTGAAAGAGAGGGGATCCTTTTTTTTCTTGACCTTTATTCGGTGTTGATCAAACTCCATTGAACGCCAGACAAAGCCGACGCAACCTCCGATTGCGAACTGCCGGCGATCACAAGCCCGTCTCCAATTACAAAACCAAATTCCTATCTACAGGTAAAATCAAGTCTCTTATTTTGCAGTTCCGTTGCAAAGCCGTCACCGCCCTTCTTTGCACGCAGCCGCCGCCTTCTCTCTTACATCCGCCAAACCCTGCACAGACAAATGTTCGGCCCTATGCGAACGCCAAATCCCGCCACTAATCTTCACTCGACTCCTTCTCTCACAGTCGAATCCAAGCCTAAATGCATGCACTGCTTGTCGTTGAACCTTCACCACCGTCTTCAATGAATATGTTCTCAACTCAAACAAAGATCATAATTATTGCACTTTTTACCATGCCTCTTACGTGAACCTGTCCATTTTGTAAGTAACCGTAAAAGCCTTGGCTAGGCCTGCAAGCGAACCAAACGTTCGACGAGCTACTCGTTGTTCGGTTCGATTAAAGCTTGTTTGCGATCGTTTAATTAACTAAACAAACAAACTTGAACAATATTTTAAATACTCGATTCTTAAATAAACAAATTTGAACACTAATGTGTTCGGCTCATTTATGTTCGCGAACAACATCATTTGAAGTTCATGAACAAGCTCGACATTAAGCTCGATAAAAAGCTCGA